TCATGGACTAATATATGGTCTATTTTGGAGAAAGATCCATGTGCTCTTGAGAAGAATGTGTATTCTGTTATAGGGTAGAAAACTGCAGGTATCTATTAGTCCATTTGTTCTGGTTTAGCTCTGACATTTCTTTAAGTTTTTGGTTAGTTGAGCTATTTGTTCGGGTGGGTTATTGAGGTGACCCACTATGGTTGTATTGGTATTTATTTGATCTTTTATGTGGAATAGTGTTTTCTTTATGAAGTTAGATGCACCAGTATTTCATGCATTTGTGTGTGTGTGTGTGTGTGTGTGTGTGTGTATGTATATATAGTAAGTCCTGATGTAGGAACATTTGAATTGCAAACTTTCACAGATATGAACAGGCCTCACATTACAAATATTTGTGGATGTGAACAAATCACCAAAGCAGCATATTTTGACCCTAACCCTATACCACCATTTTAAGGTAACTGTAAAAGTAAAAATAGTTTATTTACAGTATTTTTGTTTGGGTTTTTTATGCTTTACACTGTATATTTGTGTCAAAGTTGTATAATACTCACTTTATTGGACTTATGAATGAATCCGAACGTTCTCTTGGAATGGGACCTATTTGTAAGTTGGGGATTTATCTGTGTGTGTGTATTTATTTATTTACAGTTGACCCCTTTTTGTTGAATTATTCCCTTAACTAATAATATGTAGTTTGCCTCTTCTGATCAGTTTTAGCTTGAAATTTGCTTTGTCTTAGCATAAAATTACTACCCCCTGCTTGCTTTTAGGGATCTCGTTCATGGAGTATTGTTTTCCAAATACTGATTTTTAGTCTGAATTTTTTTTTTTAAATTTCTTTTTAAATTAAATGGGCCTCTTGAATACAACAGACCATTGGCTTTGTTTTCTGATCTAGTGTTCCGATCTGTGTCTTTTATTTGGGGAGTTGAAGCCATTTTTGTTAAGAGTTATAATTGAAAAGGATTGACTCATTCCTGTAATTGCATTATTTTTCTGTTGTTGGCTCCAATATTTTTCTTTTTTGTGTAACTACTTGCCTTGCTTGATCTATTTATTCCCTCCAACTTTTTGGCTTTGTTGGCTTCACTGTCTCTCTCTAGGATATTCTTGAGTATTTTTGGTGTACTGGTTTGGTGTTCATGAATTTAATATATTCTTTTTCATGGAATTTTCTTATTTCTCCATGAGTTTTGAGAGAGTTTTGCAGAATATATTAGTCTAGGTTGAAAGTTGTTTTCTTTTAGGGCTTGAACCATCTCACTCTTAAGATCTCCTGGCCTGTAAGGTTTGTGTTGAAAACTGTTATGAATCTAATGCATTTACCTTTATAAATAATTTTTGCTTTCTCTGACTTTTCCTTTTTTTTTTTTTTTTTGTACCGGGGGTTGAACTTGGGTTCTTGCGCTTGCAAGGCAGGCCACCAAACCACTGAGCTAAATCCCCAGCCCATCTCTGACAACTTTTAAGATTCTGTCTTTATGTTGGACCTCTGGGATTTTCACTGTGATGTATCATGAGGAGCTTCTTTTTCTCTTTTTCATAATTTGATGTTCTGTAAGCTTTGCTTACCTGTTTATTGAGTTCTTGTGTGTGTGTGTGTGTGTGTGTGTGTGTGCGCGCCGGGGATTGAACTTGGGTCTTTGTGCTTTTAAGGCAGGCAGCGGAATCACTGAACTAAATCCCTGGCCCTATGTTGAATCCTTTCCCCATACTTAGGGTTCTGGTAGAATTTCTGTAAACAGATTTTTAAAATTCTGTCCTCTAATTTCTCTCTAACTCCATTTAGCCTTAGGTTAGTATTCTTAGAAGTAGCTATTGGATAAATTTTTCTTGTTCTCTTATGGTATTTAAAGTTTTTCTGAGTATATCATGATGTGATTCCATTTTGTCCTCAATTTCTAAAGCCCTATTAGTCATTGCTGCTCTTTATGAATTGTGGGATTTTCTTTGAGTCTGTTTCTTAAATTAGTAATTCATGTTTGAATCAGTTTGGTCAGCTCTTCCAGTTTTTTATTTGTTTCTCCTGTAATCACATTGATCAGTTTTGTAGTTCCACTTTTAGGTTATGTTCTCGTTGAGCTCAACGAATTTCTTTGCTTCATCTTGAATTATTTGATACAGAGCAGCTATCAGTTGTTTGCTTTCCTCTCTGTTAGTGCCCTTGGGTCTGCTTTGGCAGAGTTGGAAGTCTTTAGAGGCATCTTGTTGCCTTTTTTCATGTTCCGATTGATTGATTGATTGTGCCAAAGGTTGAGGTCAAATCAAATGAAGAGAGTTCTTTTATTGGTGTGAAGTCTCTTTTATTAGGTTCTGTTTTCCTGTGATGTGTTCTTAGCTTTCTTCATCAAGAAGTATTGTTCAGTACCTCACCCTATTCAATTTAATTGGGTTGGACCTGGTCACTGTGTTGTAAGGATACAGTTTCCACTGATTATACCAGTACCAACAAAGCCAACCATACATCATTTGTAAATATTAGAACCTGTTTTGATAATTTCATCCTTTTGTCCTTTTGATAATTTCATTCATACTGTATTACACTGCTATTTGTGGTTCATCTGGAATGTGGAGAATGGGGGAAAGTAGAAGCAAGGGGAAAATGATATGGGTATGTCAGTGGGAAGAGAAGGAGGCAAGATAAATGTCCATAGGTAAAAAATAGGTTTGCCAGGTGTGGTGGCACATACCTGTAGTCCCAGGACTGGGGAGGCGGAGCCAAGAGGATCGCCATGAGAACGAGGCCAGCATACACTATATAGTGAGTTCAAGGCCTACCTGATCTACATAGTAAGACCCTGTCTCAGAGACAGAGAGAGAGAGAGAGAGAGAGAGAGAGAAAGAAAGTGGGGCAGAGAGAGAGAGGAGAAAGGAAGGTTGGTTGGTTGAAGAGAAGAACTAAAAGGGAACAGGTCAAAGGGGGAAAACCTTGAAGAATAAAGTATCATAACCAAATAATACCAATGAAGAAGCAAGAACCAGAAAGAAAACACAAAACAAAAACCCCAAAACAAAATGAACAAATAAAGGGGGAAAAAAAGATGACCCAAATCAAATGAAGAAGCAAAAAAACAAAATAAAAATAAAAACAAAAATCAAAACCTTCACATAGGGCTGGGGATTTAGCTCAGTGGTCCTGCCGCTTGCCTCGCAAGTTCAAGGTCCCGAGTTCGATCTCTGGTACCAAAAAAAAAAAAATCTTCACACAGTTGTTACAACACAAACCCAGAGCATCCACACAGCTCCCTCTACGTTGGAGTCGCAGATGATTGTAGTCAGCAAGGAGTTTACCTCTAACAGCCATGAGGGCTATTGCTCCCTCCAAACATCTGTGCTCTGGGCATGACCCACTGCAAGCCTCCATGGATCCAGTTTCCTTAATCTGTTGCAGGGGTAGGAGGTGCTAAATATCTTAGACATCTTCTTTTCTTCCCTCACAAGCTTTTCTGGCCTAGTATTTGGCCAAATGGTCACTGGCCCAGGCCATCTCTCTACCCACTGACGCCTGTCTGTCGCAGCCTTTTCCACAAAACCTAGTGCCTCCTCTCCTTGCCATTGTGGGGTGGTGGGCAGGACCTCTTGCCTTCTCAGCCTTTTCCAGCGTTTGGAGAAATAAGAGAGCACCTACCCTGTTATAGCTCTGCCAACTCACTCCCTGGCCTAGACGCCTGTGTCTCCTCTCAAAGATGTTGCTGTACTGCTTTGCATATTTGTAACAGACCTGGTTTTTCATACCCTCTGCTGTTCCCAGCTAAGTGGTCCTGGGTCCCCCTTGTGAGAGACCACTGGCAGTTGTGAGTAGTATGGTGAATGTTCCACAAATAGTACTCCCATTGTATTTTAAGGGGATAATGACTTATTTTTTTCTGTCAGACAAGTCTTTTGCCTTACCGTCCCATGGCTCACAGGTGCTAAATTGCTGCTGTTCACAAGACATGGGCGCATGTGATTTATTCTCCCTATTCTGCTTTCATGTTCAAATCCCTATGTTGCATATGTCTCACTTGCCATGCCCAGTTGGGAGGAAATAGTGATTGTGAGTCTGTTCAGTCAGCTATCACCACAGGGCCAGATCCCTCCCTTAATCCAGTCCTCTCCCACAATGGCGTGGGGAACTGGTCTGGGGTGAGCATGGAGTTCTAGGACCCATGAGTAATCTGATTTCCCATCACACACCCCTGAATACTAGATTTCAGTCCAGCTAGATTTTCTTTTCATTTATCCTCCTGTATCAAACTGTATTTTTCACCCCTACCTCAGAATATCTGCTTTTCCTCAGGACCAATTTGGAGATACCCTTGTTTTCATGCTCTGGGTGGCCATCTTCTTTCTCTCACTACTAAAAAATTTTATTATTTTTTCACATTTTGATTTTTTATTTGTGTGAAGATTTTTATTCTGCTGCTTTTGGATTAGTTCATCGAGTCAGTCTTTCAGCCCTTATTTAATACTTGCTACGTGTTTGGTAAATAGACTGTCTTGAAGCCTGTAATGATAAGTGTATTATAATCCCCATCCTTGAGACTTTGAAGATCACTAGTTGTAATGGAAGAAAGGGAAGATAGCAGCAAAGTACTATAATCCCCTGTTCTAATAAACAGGGTCTCTATTCCAGAGCATACTGGTTGGATTTAGAAGAGAGTTACACAAACTTGTCTAAAATGTAGTACAACCTGGATCTATACCTATATTCCCTAATGCCTCGAAGCCTGTGTTCCTTAATTCTCAAATGAGGTAGTGCCCTTGTAATAGGGTTGGCAGGAGAAAAAAATGAGGAAATGTGTGAAATATCGAAGTAAGTACTTAGCAGGTGATAACTGAATTATAAAACATTACCAGACAGAATAATTTGAGAATTTAAAAGAGCACGTGCATACACTGTAAGTAGTTTATATATGTGTATGTTTTTCACTAATATATAAGTGGGCAATTGGTAATTCTGCAACAAGAGAGGGTTGCATATCTAAATCTGGTTGTAAAATGGTTGATTTTATGTACTACTTCAGGTACCAAAGCAGTCAGATTCACAGCCTAATTCTGATAACCCAAATCGCCAAGGTGAATGTGGGAAGAAACAAGTGTCTTACAGAACTGATATTGTTGGCGGTGTACCCATAATTACTCCAACTCAGGTAATCAGTTAATTCTTTTATGAGGGTCTCATTGCATATTAATTTATGAATTGTCATTCAAACTAAAACTGCATCTTTTTAAATTACTACAAAACCTTTTATTTTTGTTTATTGTAAAAGAATTGTATATCACAAACAACATTTAACACTTTTTTGTTTCTTGGAGTACATGCTTCTCCTGTGTACTCTGCACTCCCCTAGAAATGGAGATATGAATTGCATATCGGACTTTGTAAATAGTTTTTCACTTACCACAAACATTTTCTTAGACATCAGATGATAGTCTATGTTATTTTTCATGACTACAGAGTAGTTCTGCCATGGATTTTCCATAATTTTCAAATCCAATAAGAGTTCTTTTTTCTTCCTATTTTTTTGGTACCAGGGATTGAACTCAAGACCTTGCTTTTGCCAGGCAGGTGTGGCACTACTGAGCTACATCTCTAGCCCTCTTCCTTTTTTCTTAAGATGAATTTATAGTTTAAACTTTATAGGCACAGATGATATTTTTAAAGGATAAATTCTTAGAAATAAAACTGCTGAGTCACAGTGTGCAAATTTGTATAATTTTTTAAGACTGATTTTAGTACAGTACAACTTGGACTAGATCATCTAAACAATGGATTGGAATTTTTTCTTCATTGTGTCCCAAAAGTATGACATGCTAAAGTAAGCCTGACTGAGTATTAGGAAAAATATAAATTTATGAACAAATTTTATTACATTAAAACTTGTGTAGGTGTTTAAGTTTCGTTTTTTTTTTTTTTTTTTTGGTACCGGAGATTGAACTCGGGTCCTTGCGCTTGCAAGGCAGGCCACCGAACCACTGAGCTAAATCCCCAGCCCTGTAGGTGTTTAAGTTTCTTGTATTGCTGTTGACAGAATAAGTTTGTAATAGTTACTAGTAGTGGAAAAAACAAGAATTTTTAAGTGTTATTGTCAGTGTTGGACTTTTTTATTATGTTTGTATCTTTTGAACCTCAAAGACTTTGATACTTTATAAATCTTTTAAATCAACTTATATACCATATTTGCAGGTCTTTTGCCAGGAGAGGGTTATTAATGGAAAGTAAAACCATACATTGTTTAGCTATTGATTGTTTTCTTTATGCTCTGCAAAGGGTATATTAGTGAACAAAAATACCGCTCTATTGGGAGCTTGCAGTTTTGCCAAAGTTGAATAAAAAAATAAAATAGGATTGTGTGTGTTTGGTTTTTTAAAAAGCAATGGTTTTAGCCTGTAAAATGTCTAGTTACAGTTAGCCTACGCTTCTTTCATTTGTATTATGACTTGGATTGACATTATGTGCTAGATTATTTGCCTGTAGTTGTATTAAGATACTGTAGTAGTTTGTATCTTGGCTAATTTAATTTGAATTCTATGGGGATGTCAGTTTAAACATTCCAAAAGTGTTTTATTATTTTGCAGTATAGTTTTTAAAAATTATAAAGTAGTATTTACTCATTGTGAAAGTATTAAGACATGTAGTGTCAAGAAAATGTTAAATCTTATTTGCATTATTAATTTATTGAGTAAGCAGTAAGTTAAATACTACCATTACAAATTTGAGTACATTGTTTTGTTGACCTATCTAAATGTAGAACAAGTTGAAAATTCTTCAAGATATGTATGACAATTAGGACTTAGTTTTTCTCTTGAATTTTGGAAGTTGTAGAAAATAAATCTTTGGCTTATTTATGAGATTCTAGATTGTCTGATGTCATAACTATACAGGAAGCCAGTACTTTGAGGAACATGATGTCCTGGGTATAGTTCTTAAAAAACACCTAAGCTTTTATGTAAAACATAAAACTACAACACTTTAAAAAAAAATAGAAGAAAATCTTTAAGATCTATGAGTGGGCAAAGGGTTTTTAAGACTTAGCCTTAAAAGCATAGTCCATCTAGGAAAAAGGTGGGTAAATTGATCCTCATCAACTTACATTCTCAAAATGTCAGAATTATAGAGATAGAGAACAAATTAGTGGTGTGGGATTAGGGGTAGACTCTGAAGGACTAACACAAATCTAATGAACAGTTCTGATCCCGATTGTGGTTAATAGTTACACACATCTTCACATATGATAAAATTACATAGAACTGTACATATACACATAGAAAAGTTAGTGCGTATAATGCTGGTGCAGTCTGAGATTTGTGATGTTCTGGTGTCAGTTTCATGATATTGGTAATATATCTTACCTATATGCAGTTTTCCTACTGGGGTAGTCTGGTTGAAGGGTACACAGGACTCCCTGTGCACCTCTGCTTTTTTACTTTTTATAATTTTCTGTGAATCTGTGTAATTATTTCAAAGTGAAAAGTCCTTCTCCCCAAAAAGGCACTAGTGGCAGGACTTTTATATAACTTCAGAAGTAGAAATGTGTACTTTGGTCAAATGATTAAGTATCTCAGATTAATTAGAAAACTCTTCATAATCCATGTTCCTGACTATACTGAGATAGATTTTAAGATTTTCTAGACTAACAACATAAAATAGAAGTATGCTTTGAATCTAAACAAGCAAGAAAATAATTTATTTCTTTTGCTTCATTTTAGAAAGAAGAAATAAATGAATGTGGTGAAAGTACTGACAAAAATAATTTGAAACGGTCACATAGCCATCTTCCTTACTTTACTCCTAAACCACCTCCAGACAGTGCAGTTATCAAAGCTGGATACTGTGTAAAACAAGGAGCAGTGGTGAGTCGCCTAATAATGTAAAATACTGAAAAGCAAGGCTACACTAGCAACTCACAAGTTATTCAGATACTTTCCATTATTTTATAAAAGACTGAAAGTGAAGACTGGCAGGCCAGGAAGGATATCAGGAGAGAGAGCAGGGATTATTCTGTATTTATAATTCAGTGCTATTATTTCCTAGGTGTGGTCCGCTGGAAAATTTAATGCCTATTTACACTGACCTTCAGTGTATTTTATTTATTCATTTTTCTTTATTGGTACATTTTAGGTATACAATACAGTTACATTCATCTTTGGGCTCTTGTACCTTTACATGACGTATCTTGGTTCTTTGTGCTGCCACTGTCTGTCTTGCAAGCGCAAGGTCCCAAGTTTGATTCCCAGTACCAAAGGAAAGGGAAAAAAAAAAAAAATTCAATTACTGGAACAGTCCTGTCAAGGGTTAGTAGTAAATATGAGCCAGGGATTTAGCTCAGTACCGCCACCTGCCTCGTAAACTCAGGGTTTCAAGTTCGATCCCTAGTGAAAAACAAAACAAAACATGGCCTTCAGTTTAGATGAGCCTTCCTAACAGTTTCACCTTATTTCAGAATGTTCTTTTGTTGATTCCCCATACCTGTAGGAATGGGTGAGGGGAAGAGCTCCCCTAGGCGGGTGGCATCTTGAGGCTGGATGAATAAGTACTGTTGTTGGCCTGACCTCAGTAAAGTCGTTGTGGCTTTGGGGTATTTAACCTCCCAGATTCTAAATGTCTTTTCTAAGGAAAATCATTTTTAAAAATTTTGATCTAGAGCTTTTTTGGGAAAGATGTAAATGAGAAAGTTGTAGTTGTTGGCCCAAAACCTAGTACTGAGCTAAGCAAAAGCTCTTACAGGTGAACCCAAATAATCCTACACAGCTGCATGATGGAAAATCTTTGCAAAAACAAGTAAATTTGCCAGTGTTCCTAAGGAGCCAGATGCATTTCTAAACTTATTTTGTGTGAACTAAATTTTTAGAATGTCATGAGAAAATAAACTTTAAGTTTTGTAACTAAAAGGAAAAAGGAAAAAGCAAAAAAAATCTAGGAATAAAAAAGTACTTTTACATCTCTATTGGTAGTTCTGTTTGCCTGCTTATCCCTTTCTGGCAACTCTGATTCCCATAGGTCAGCCCAGGGAAAGTTGTTCCACTTCTGTTTGACCTTTTGTTGGGCTTAGAGAAATGAAGGCAAGGACTAGAGTTTTCTCACTGTATAGTTTCTACAGATGGAGTCGTTTCTCACCAGGCTGTGATACTTGGTGTGTGTTAATTGAGGCTTTGAAGGAGATAATCCTTCCTTTTTGTTTTACTCCTATATCTAGTATCAGTCACTTAGAGATATTTTAGAACATACACAAAAGGTATATTTCATTGACAGAAATGTTTGTATAAAGTATATTCGCTTTTTAAATATTTATTGCTTTATTACTATGTGTAAAGTGCTTGTAGAAGGATTCATGCATTTTAAAGATGGAGAAACCTGATATGGTATAATATTTCCTATGCTTGCTTTTTACTTTGTCAGGGTCAGGAGGAAAGGGCAGTACCTTTTTGTTGTTGTTACTTTATTTTTTTAACTGTTAGAATATTAAAAGTATGAAATAGGATAGCATCATTAATAAAACCTGGAAGCCAGCCACTGCAAGTTGAACCAGGAGTTCATGGCCTGGGCAGCAAATGAGAGATGAGCTTTCATTTTTTTTGCCTAAGGGAAGACAATGAGGTTTTCCGTAATTCACATTTCTGATTGTGGGTTCATATCAGAATGATTAGTGGTGATTAACATCTGACGTTCTTAGAAACAGAAGTCTTATTTCTGTGTTCATTTCTGGTAGATGAAAAACTGGAAAAGAAGATATTTTCAGTTGGATGAAAACACAATTGGCTACTTCAAATCGGAACTGGTATGTTGCTACATCATAAGTATTGCTTTACAAATGCTTGAGAAGTGTTACATTCCAGTGAAGTATTATTTTATGGTATTTTCTCTATTTAAAATAATCCAATTCTAGTTTTGAGGGTTGAGTTAACTTTGTTACAATGCTTTTAGATAATAGCATTTTTCTTAAATACATCTTAAATAAAACGATCGTATCTTCAAAGAGGCATTCCACCTTAAAAAATCTAAACTTAATCAGCCCCTTCCCATCCACAGATTTCCTTTAAAGGGAATGTTGGAGAAACTACATAAGTGGCAAAGTCTCTAGTGGTCAACATTTATTTAACCCTTTGTATTTGTCTTTTCTTCCTTGCCTTCTCTTAACTTTTTTTTGGTTTGTTTGTTTCTGTTTTGTTTTTTTTTTTTGTTTTGTTTTGTTTTAGGTACCGGGGATTTAACTCAGGTCCTTGCGCTTGCAAGGCAGGCCACCGAACCGCTGAGCTAAATCCCCGGCCCAACATTTTCTTTTCCTGTTTTAGACTGACTCTTATTTTGCTTCATTTAAGCTGTTTATGACCTATCTGAACATAGAATTAAAAGGTGGAGATTCCCTCTCTCACTTGTTTGAGTAACATCCTCATATCTGGTGACCTGAGTCCTGCCATAGCTTGTTGTGTAACACAGTTCTATACCTCTTGTTGTATGGGACCTTTAAGAAGGGAGCCATATGCTTTATTTCAACTAAGGCACCATGGCAGTGCTCTTTAATAAAGCTTCCTGTCTGGGTACAAATACTCCATATTGATACTATCCAGTACCATTGTCTACATATGGCTTTTGAGTTCTGGAAATGTAGTCACTATGACTGAGAAACTGACTTGATTTCATTTTTAAAGCTAAAACTGATTTCATTTTCATTAAGTTAAATTTATATAGTTAAACATATATGTAGCTAGTAGTTATTATATTGGAATGTGGAGCACTAGAAAATAGGAAAAGGAATATTTTAAGATACATCTCAGGTGTCAGCTCTTCTAGGAGGTTTTTACCAGAGGCATTCCACATTAAATCTAAAATTAGCCACTTCCCACCCACAAATTCTCTTCGAAGGGGACACTGGAGAAGCTATCATAAGCAATTAAGTCTGTAATGGTCAACAGGGTGAGAAGACTGTCCTCTTGGGGGATTGGCTTAGCATGGAACAGGGAGAGGAAAGCATTCGCATGGAGAAGAGGTTGATGGCAGAGATGGAGACTGTTTGCATACATATATATTGATAAAATTTTAAAATGATGTATATTAAGGATACCTGAAGCCAAGTTTCCTGCTGTCAAAGACGAAGAGTAACAAGGAAAAGGAGAAAATTTTGGTATGAGATTAGTGTGTTACTTAGCTTTTTGTCACTATGATTCACTATCTGAACTAAACAATTTAAAGGAAGAAAGGTTTATTTTGGCTCACAGTTCCAGAGATAACAGTCTTTGATTGTTGGGCTCCATTGTTTTTAGGCCTGTGGTCAGAAACCTCATGGTGGAAGGACGTGGCAGAGCAGAGCTGCTCATCCTCTGGTAGCCAGGAGGCAGAAAGGGTGAGAGAGCCAGGGAAGAAGGGACCAGGAAGCAGATCTAGCCCCCCAATGTCACACTCCTGTGAGCTACTCCCTTCAGCTAGGCTCCACCTCCTATTTCTAGCATCTCCCAATAATGCCATCAAATTATGATCTCACCACTACTAATAAAGTTAGAACCCTCACGATCCAGTCATTTGAGAAAGCCCAAGAAATGCATCCAGGTCTTCAACACAATGAGCTTTTTGGGAGAAGTTTTAGATAATCACTATAACAATTAGAATTTGATATATTGTTGTATTTAAACTACACAGGTAGATGTAGGTATAAATGTGCTGTAAGAAAATTACCATTTCCCATTGATAGAAACCTGAACTCCATAGACATACAGCAGATTCCAGAGCTGGAACAAGAGAAAGAAATGTGTAGTGTTCCTGGAATGTCTTGTGTCAGAAAGGCAGGAAGTACTCAGGAACTCTAGGGACGGGTAAAAAGACCCAGAAGCCACTTTGAAACATTTCTCTCACCAAATTTGGGACACTGAGAGCATCCAAGGATCAAAATTAAAAATGATGGTAGTACATTATAGCCACAGAATAAAATAGTAATCCATGAGCACATACAAATATAAATAAATGGCTGCATGATGAGTGTGTATGTTTGCATATTGAAGAATGAGATATTTGTATAAATTGAAATATACCTACCTGCAAAATAGATTAAGCAAAAGGGAAAAAATAGTAACTTTTGCAGACAAGAGGCCTGGCAGATATTTCTTTAATCAGGCAGTCAAATAATTCAACCAGACATCATCAGTGATGACAAGATTGAAGTTACCTCCTGACTCCTGTATGAGAAAAACACAGCATTGATTCTGAGATTCCTGCCACAGGTACATAATCTGAATCTAATCATGAAGAAACATCACACACACCAAGATGAGGAATGTTCTATAAAAATAACTCCTTATAGTCTTCCAAAGAGTCAAGATTATGAAAGTCAAGAAAAGAATTCAGAATTGTTCCAAAGTGAAGGAAAAACAGATCACAAGCAGATGTAGTTTGTATTCTGAACTGACTATTTTTCTTCTAATAGACATTTGGGAAAATTTTCAGACTTCAAAAGTTATAATGTGATTATATGAGAGGATATACTTATAGGAAACACACAAATGTATTCAGGGAGAGTGTGGGCCAGGTCAGCAACTCACCCTAAATGACTCAGAAAAAAAATCAGTTTTTTGTGTTTTATTTTCAACCTTTCTGTAAATTCATGATTGTTCCGAAAGTTCAAAAAGTGCCAGGTGTTGTGGTGCATGCCTGTAATCCCAGCACTTGGGAGGCTGAGGGAGGCACATCTCCGTAATTTCAAGGCCTACCTGAGCTACAAAGTCAGTTCAAAGCCAGCTTGAACTACAAAACAAGACCCTGTCTAACAAAACAATAAATAAATAGGGGAAATTGAGGGGACTCTATCAGGTAGAAAAATGAATAAAACAGTTTATTTAAAAAGAAATTAAATGGTCCATAAAAGTGATGCGTAACATCATTCGATGCAAATTTAAAATGCACATTAAATTTAAATTAAATGCAAATTAAAACTACTGACATTTCTTCTCATCTGCATGCAAAGGCTGTGCCTAAGTGAAGAGATCAACAAATCCTTTCCTCCAAAAGCATCTAATGTCATTCTGTAAGTAAGAGGAGCTAGGACTCCTTTGAGAAAGAACTGATTTCAAATCTGGAACAGGTAAAGTACAGGCTGAGCCCAGAAATCTAGTTGTGCTGAAAAATAAGGAAATGCCTCAGCAGCTATTCCAATAGTGGTTTCAGGCAAGAATCTTCAATGTTTCATAAAACTAATGTGCAAAATTATGTTGGGCACCTGAGTATTACACAGGTTCCATGCATCTCCTCACAAGATACTTAATGACAAAAGAAAAATAGAGTAGTTTCATAAGTAATTGGCAACAGTAGTAACCTTAAGCCAGATGCCAGGGTAGCACACCAGTAATGGATCAAACCCTGTTGTGTGCAAACTAATAATGTTCTAAGAAGAATGCACTGTCATAGCTGTGGTTTCCTATCTAAAGCATAACTTGAACATTAACGTAAACATCTGGCAAATGCAAATTGGGACACATTCTAAAACTCTTAGAAATCATGAAAAAACAAAAGACTAAATAACTGTTCCCTAGTAAAGGAGACCAAGGGATGTGATAGCTGAATGCAAGGTATGATCCCATATTGCAATCAGACAGAAAATAGATTGTTTTTCTTTTGCTGTAAGAGATAACTTGGGGGTCAATTAATGAAATCAATATGGTCTGTGAATTACATAATAGTATTGCATGATTGTGAAGTTTTTTGGTTTCCATGATTGTGCCTTGGTTATAGAAGAGTATGTCCATATTTTAGAAAATACACACTACTACTACCATAAAGAATTGGATAAACTTGAGTCATTTATAGGAAAATGGATGCACCTTGAGACAATAATGTTAAATTCAGTTAATGTGAAGTGAAGTTTTGACTTTGTGGAAGAGTGACAACTATTACATGGTTTGTTTCTCTTATATGAGAAACCCAGTATATAAAGTGAAGTACAAATAAAAGACAAACAGACAGTAGGAAAACAGAGAGAGAGAAAAAAGTTAATGTAGTCCAGCATGGCCAGTGTATCTAAAAGTGTACCTTGATTTAGTGTAATTGTCTTATGTATATTATATATTTTTAACCTGTTAATCTGTGTTTATGATAATTAACTTCATACAGATTTATAAAATAAACAAATTGGATGCTTACAAAATGAGTAAAAATATTTAAGAATCGAGTAGGGGAAAAGGAAAATAATAGAGTTGAGATATATTATGTACATACATCAGTTCCCCACAATGAATAATTATTGTATACTGCAACTATGTACTAATAAAAAATGTTAAAGGCAAAATATACACTGAAATATGTAGTAGTAAAGTTGCATCTGTACCTTGCCTTCAGACATTGCCAGGGATTTGGCTCAGTGGTTCTTCTGCCTGCCTTGCAAGGCAAGGGCCTAAGTTTGATCCCTGGTACCAAAAAAAAAAATTATTTTAGGAAAAAAAAATATACTCAGATATTCATATATATGAGATAATTCACTTAAAAATACGTAAAATATTAACATGTTACAAAATGGTACAAGAGGGCCAGAGATTTAGCTCAGTGGTTCGGTGGCCTGCCTTGTAAGCGCAAGGACCTGAGTTCAATCCCCGGTACCAAAAAAAAAAAAACACACACACACACACAAAAAACCCAAAAAACCAAAACAAAATGGTACAAGATATGTAGACATTCTTTGTATAATTTCTGTAAATATTTTGTAAAACAATTTGAAAAAGTGTTCTTGTGGTTTTTTTCTTGTTGCTACATAATGCTTTAAATAATGTTTTAATCTCATGGTAGCATATTGAATGAAATTGAGAACACAGTGATTAATGAAATGTATAGTATTATACTCTTAGGAACCAATTATGTCTCATATTGAGTTTTATTACCTTGGATGAAATATTTAATATGTCTAATCCTCAGTTTCTTTTTTTTTTGGTACCGGGGATTGAACTCAGGTCCTATGCTTGCAAGGCAGGCCACCGAACTGCTGAGCTAAATCCCTGGCCCAATCCTCAGTTTCTTTTGTTGAATAATAGTATATGTATTGTAGGGTTGTAGAAAGGTTTAAGTGAGGTGACTCTTAAAAACCAGGAGATTTGCCAGCAGTTAGTAAATGTTCAATAAATGGTACTTCATATTAAAGTTATACTGGTAAAATGACACATTTAAGTCAAGCTAGATGTTCACCGTTCCAGTGCTTTATATGAGGTATGATTGAAAATTATAGTGAATATTTAAATTGTTATGTTTTGTTACACTAAAAATGTATTGCCATTAATCCCTCAAAATACTTTGAACACACCTATCCCATTGTTCTTGCCACTTTCTGAAATAGTTCTGTAAGTTCTCATTCCCGGGTGTCTTTAGTTATACTGTTGTGGCTGCTTCAATGTCCTGAATTGATTGAAAATACTTGCCTTTCTTGGTCATTTTGACTTCGTGGAAGAGTGAGAAGTAATATGTTGAATAAGGTGAATAAGATCTAGTGAAATAAAGTGGATTGAGGACAAACCATAATATTTTTCACAAGCCTGACTTTCTGTTGTTTTTGATCATACTTTGTAAAGACATGAAAGAGGACTTCCAGAATTGCTTCAGAAAGTAGCAATAATCATGTAGTAAGTGTTCAAAGCAAGGGGGGAATATTTTAAGGAGGATCAATAGCAATGTCTTTTACTGTAGTATTTTAAAATATTTTAATAATCACTGTATATATTGATCATATGTATATCAAAATGGCATTGCAGAAGAGGAAGTAGTATACTTACTGGTACACAGGGATCTATCCAGGACCTAGTCTGATGGTTAATGGCTTTTATTTTTTTAACATACAAATACCAGTTTTATTCAGTTAATATATTCAAGTCATATAGCTCCATTTTCTGAAACAGATGGCATTTTAATATGCTACACTATCATTGAGGCCAGAAACCAAGTTTGAAATAACAATGGATATAAAGGTATTGAATTGAAATATTTTGATGCTCTGTGGCTTAAGAAGATAAGAGTTATGGCTTAGATGTGCTTCAAGAGAGAAGCATAATTTTCCCATAGTCCTACAAATAGAAAACAAAACCTTGAAAGGATTTTAAGAATAAAAGTACTATATCTATTTGCTTGTTTACCAGGAAAAGGAACCTCTACGTGTAATACCACTCAAAGAAGTTCATAAAGTCCAGGAATGTAAGCAAAGGTAAGGAACTGTGTTGGCTTGATGCTGGCACCACTTATTAATATACAACAGTTCCTCAGTTTCATTAAGATGCTTATAAATTATATTTTTCTATATTCTAATGTAACTTTTAACTCTTTAGGATGTGCTAGCATTTTGAAATCTTCAAATTAAAGTATAAAATAATTTGTTTATCTGAAAATAAAAATTCATTAAAAAACTTATTAATGGAAAGAAAAAATTTTATATGGACAACTTGTACCATCAAATTTGGTTAATGGTTTTATTGTTAATTTTAGTATCTTGAAGGTACAACAGAACAAGATGTTACAAAAGAAAAATCAACTGTGCTTTCATCTTTTAGCAAACTGTTTTTTTTAAGTTAGAAACTTTGAATTTTAAAGTTGCTTTGTGAACTTCTAAAAATAATTACATAAAATATATATAATTTAATACAAAGAAGCAAAATAAATGGGAAAAGATAAGTTTTGTTAAATTAATTCAATGTTTTACCTTTTATTGACATGTACTTGGCACTGAGTAAACACGTGAAAGAAAACTATCAAACTACTGCTATTTAAGTACAATTGGATAATTTTTTTTCATAACAGTGACATAATGATGAGGGACAACCTGTTTGAAATTGTAACAACATCTCGAACTTTCTATGTGCAGGTAAGATACTTAATTTGGAGATTATAGATCCTCTCATAAGAAATCAATAGCTGTAGAGGTAAATAAACTAATATTTTTGGTTTTGAGTTTAAAAATATGACAGTTATAATTCACTAACTTAGTAAATATATAAAAGGTTACTGCTAAGTTGTATGTTTAGGACTGGGAGTATCTGTTAAGAATTAGTGAAGTAGGTCTCTACTTGGAGGAAAGAAAACTCTTTGGGGGAGAAAGTAAAATACAACTGTTTAGAGTGGGGGCGTTGAGATAGGGTCTTTCTATGTAGTTCAGGCAGACCTTGAACTTACTTTATAGCCCTGGCTGGCTTCAAACTCGAAATGATTCACCTGCCTCAGCTTCTCAAGTGCTGGGATTACAGGTGAGCCCCACCTTGCACAGCTAGAGAAATGCTCTTCTAACTTATATATTATATGTATACCTTCAAGTTGGATTATTTTCCACTTATTTTATATCATTTTTTTGTCATCTTATAAAAAGGGAAGCTCAAATATTCCTAATACAAATAAGCAGATATTACAGTTGTACTAATAGGAGGCACCTTGTATTTAAGTTTAAAATATACTTTTTACTTTCCTCACTGAATTATTTAAATTGAAACTTTTTAAAAAAAGAACATTTGCTTTATGAAAGTTTCATATGCTTACTACAGAAAAGTGTGAAAATAAAAGTTAAGAAAAAACTTGTTTAGAAAACAACAATCCTAGGGCTGGGGATTTAGCTCAGTGGTTCGGTGGCCTTCCTTGCAAGCGCAAGGACCCGAGTTCGATCCCTGGTACCACAAAAAAAAAAAAAAGAAAGAAAGAAAGAAAACAATCCTACATTCAAGTAACCATTCTTAGTTTCTTGTTGCCTTTCTCATAGCGAGTGGGGTTATGCTAAATATAGTGTTAAATACTATTTGTTTCATAATTATAGTCATTTCCCATATCATTACAATTTTTTCTGAATTTTTACAATTGTACCATACCCCATTTTATGGATGTTCTACAAGTAAACTATTTCTGTGTTATTCTGTTACTGAATATTCATTTACATAGTTTTTGTACATTTACTAGAAATAATGTGATGATGAACATCCTTATGCATAAATTTGCCTACATTTCTGATTTCTTTAGGATAAATTGTAGATTAAGTTTAACCATCAGAGCATGAACCTTTTTATATTGTAAAATTGGTTTCTGGAATTCAGTTTCCATTAATTAATGAAAGTATTGTGTACCTTTGCCAGCTTTGAGTTTTCCTTTCAAAAATTCTTTGTTCAGTATCTTCAGTTCAAAACCATTCTGTGTCTTTAAAATTTTTGATCTTTAGATTGTAGATCTACTTCTATATGGAGGTAAGGGATCATAGAATTCTGGAATCAGAAGTCATATCTCTGTACCTTCCTAGGCCCCTGTTTGTTTGTTTGTTTGTTTGTTTGACTGGAGATTGAATTTGAGACCTTGTGCTTGCCAGGCAGGCCGTGGATCCACTGAGCTAAATCTCCAGCCCCGCTAGGCCCTTGTTTAAATGACACAGGTATATATTCTTGTAGCATATTCAGATAATGTAGCAGTTGGTAAAAGGAAACAGAGGCTTTCTTTTCTTAATTTCTTCCCAGAGGTAGTCATCACTGACATTTTTGATGTATCTGATCTTAAAACATTAAGGGCACAGTTTATATCTCAGTATAGTAACTTAGATGGCAAAACTAGGTTTTAAAACATGCTTCTAAAATTTGAGTGTGGTGGGCAGGCATCGCTTTAGAATGATTTTGTTGGTTGCAGAATAAATACATTGGCTTTATAGATGTAGAAGGTAATTTTGAAGAAAAATTGAATGAGTTCTTTCTTTCCTTTAGGCTGATAGCCCTGAAGAGATGCACAGTTGGATTAAAGCGGTCTCTGGCGCCATTGTAGCACAGCGGGGACCTGGCAGATCAGCATCTTCTGTAGGTTTCTTCCTCTCTAGGGTAATATTCCCATAGGTCCCCTATCCTATCTAGTTATTTACCTTCCACTCCCCCTAATCCTCCTTGTTTCTTTATTGAAATTTATTTGCATGTTGAACTTCATACCAATTGGACTTGCAAAAAATAATCCATTTCAAATTTAATGCTTCCTTGTAGTATTATGTATACATAACTTTTGTGCATTATATTATGTTAAATGCACAAGCAGGCCAACTAAAGAATAAACTTTTCCTTGCTTGTTTAGCAATTATTACTTGTCAGTAGGTCTCAATTTAGTATAATTTGGACACTTACTATGGTATTTGGCCTAATTGTTTAAGGTACCTTTAGTTCTTATGTTACACAGTTTTGTGATATCTCAATTTTTTTCCTTATTTCAGTTAAGTTTGTTTTTTTGTTATTGGTTTAATACCATAAGGCCAGTGAACAAGCTGGAACCTTAAATACATTTAGTGCTCCCATTCAGGATTTTCCATTTCTTTTTCTTGTTCTTATTTTCTAACTGGTTAATATAAAACCTTGCTTCCGAAAACTACCATAATTATCTTTGTGATAGTATGATAATAAAAGTGAAGCAACTAAAAATATTCTACTCGGAAATAGGAAGAAAAATATTTCTCAAATTCAAATATGTCATTAAGAAGTAAATTTTACTTTGGAATATTTTGGCCACTTATCTCTGAACTGAAAGTACAAATCCCACTGAAAAAGGAAAAATTGTAGCAGTGTAGCAATATCAGCAAAAAGAAATCTAATAGGCACTATAGGCTTTATTGTCTAGATTCTTTATATATGCTAGATATTCGATACTTTTAAAATCTTTCCTGACAGCAGTATTACCTTTTGCTAGTTTCCTAGTAGTGATAACCAGAGATCAGTAAATAGAAATCTACTTTTCTCATTTCTTGTTTATCATTCTATGTTTTTTTTTTTTTTTGGAGTATCTAAGAAGTTGCTTTCATAGGTATTGATTTTGTAACTGTCTGCATTTATGTGACTTTTTCAGCAGTCAAGTTTGAGATTCTCTGCAAAAACAATGTCTGTTGGGAAGAGGAAAAGTTGGAGAAGGGTGTTTGTATTTTGTGCTTTGTGGTGGGGGCAAATTGGACTATCTAGCTATAACTGTCAGCAGAACTTTCTCTTTTCCTCCCTCTCCCAAGTATAGGTTAACTCTAATCTTTGCACTGTGTTCCAGATGCGGCAGGCCAGAAGGCTGTCGAACCCTTGTATACAGAGGTATACATCAAGAACTGGTGAATGCAGCACGTATGTGGGCTCTCACGCAAACGTGCCTTCTTAGTAGAGGGCCTGGACTTACTCACTACTTACAGCTGATCATAGAAAGTTGAGTTAACCAAACTGCCTTCTGCAGTTGTCATAACTGATTTTGTCAACACTAATTCCAACTATTTCACTGTAGTTATCAGATTGAACATGTATATTTTAAAAAAGATAAAAACACATTACTAATGGAAAGAGACATTAAAGTAGCTTCTAAAATTTCTTTCACTGAGTTGCTGCAAATTTTAATTTTATACTACAACATTTGAAATGCACCTTTGTTTTAATAATATATGCAAACCCTATAGTACTATAAATTTGCAAGGCATTTTAAATATCTGGTGAACTTTAGCCATGTAGTAGGATTCTATAGTGCTTTGGTAATTTTTAGCACTTTGTTTTCAAAGCCAGTGGTATCATAAATAAACATTATATTAGGAACCATATTGTGCAGTGTATTTAGAATGGTCATACTTAGAGACATCTTCAAAGTTGATCTTGTTAGAAGCATATTAAAATTAATACAGTGTATTCATCAAAGCTTTAAAAATTATTAAACAGGTACCCTTTGTTTTAATATCTTCAACCATATGAATGTGTGATATATTCAAAAGTAAATGAAATTAAGTAAAAAGACTGCTTCGTCCTTATTAAATAAATTTACAGCCTGATTTCACTTTTACATTCTGCATTTTATTTTTATTTTTATTTTTCTAAAATATGTGGTATAAATCGCATTGTCAGTTGAGAGTAGACTCAAATTGGTAAATCTGATAATGATAATGTTACTTTTAAACACAGTTCAGTTGCAGTTGGAACACTGTATCGTACTTTAGGCTGGCTAAGTCTTCAAAGTGTGTAAGCTGCCAAAACTCAACTTTGGTGAAAGAACTTGTTTCTTAGTGCAAGTGGTTGTTGGCTGTCATTGCTTTAAACTCACCCCTAAAATGCATTGCTTTGGGAAAGAACTTGCACATTTATGCTGCATGGCTCATGCTTTTGCTTTATGTGGGCGTGTGTGTGTGTGTGTGTGTGTGTGTGTGTTGTTTGTTTTTCAGAGAATCAAGTTTCACAGTAAGTTACTAACCTCGTGGTTAATGATTGACTCTATCTGACCACCACTCCTTTTTCCAGGAGCATTCCACCTGTCCTTCAGAATCCAAACACACTCTCCGTTCTGCCAGCGCAGCAGCAGCCACCTCACATTCCACAGCCTCTCGCAGCAACTCTCTGGTCTCAAGCTTTACCATGGAGAAGCGAGGATTTTACGAATCTCTTACCAAGGTCAAGCCAGGTAACTTCAAGGTCCAGACTGTCTCTCCAAGAGAACCAGCTTCCAAAGTGACTGAACAAGCTATAGTAAAACCTCAAAATGGCCCTCAGGAAAAAGATCATGACCCAGTGGACTTGGATGATGCAAGCCTTCCAGTCAGTGATGTATAAGCTGGAAGCATGTGGGGGCCTGATTGCCCCTTCTATCCTTCGGTGTCCTTTCATGGGCTTCTAGCCAAAGATGATAAAGGTTGAAGTAGTTTTTAATATATATTATACTGCCTCTTAGATGTACTCTTAAGCTGGTAAACCAAGAGTCTAGGAAGCAGCCAAACTCAATGTAATTTCTTTAAGAGAAAAAATCTTAATTGTCTCAGTATCAACTGTCTCAAGATTTGCGTATCCTCATTTGGGTGATAAAAATGTGTGTGTGATACTTTTTTATTCCTAGCGACTTTGACAGTTTAAATATTTAGCAATTTAAAACATTTAAAATGCTTAATAATTTTGGTTCTTTAAAAAGTACTGCAATGACTTCCCATTAAATGTTCAGTATTTACACATTCTTATTCATTAATATTACAAAGTGAAACATTGCCAGACTAAGATTCCTAAACTCATGATGTCTGTGGTGCTGCAACATTTTTACTGCAAGGTGGGCTATTTTGAAATCATAACCACTTTTGATGCCCATAATTTTGAGGTGAGTGGTAAATTTTGCATAGAAGCTGTAACTAGATCTTTGGTAAGGATGGTGGGTTGTCCTGGATTAGAAATAAGAAAAAAATGAGAATTCAAACAACTATTTTGAGATGTTTGGTTGAGAAGGTCTAGGACTTGCACTGGTCAGTGCTTCATTCAGTGAAACTTACATAGTTAGAAATTGTTGGGAGATCTAATTTTATCAAAGTTTTGTAAATAGTTATTATTCCTATATTTGGCTCAGTGAAAGACCTCAAGTTTATATGTAAAGACATAACTGCCCTTTAGTCATGAAATTGTTGTGGCCTCTACTTTTTGTCACTGATAGCCTGTATTCAAGTGCCTGTGTTTTTTTCATCTTGTTTAGGAATGTTTTGAGATTAATATGCTCAAAAATCCTTCGTGATTGGCTTTAAATATTGGAATAAAGTTAATTTTTCAGTAGCATAATTTAATGTGTTAAATGAGATAGCATTTTATGTTAGAGATACCAAAATTCTGGTATTTTTCTACATGTGCAATATATATGTTTCAAAAAACAAATTTGAGTATACATTTAATCATGGGGATATCATGGATATAACCACCTACATAAAAAAATCCTTATTTTTGGTTGTAGAATGATAAACCAGTTTGAGTAAGTACCATTTTGCAGTTCAGTCCTTAACATTTGCTTTAAGAAAAATAGTCTTGAATTTCACATGCTGCTATTTTATGATATTTTACTATTTTACAGTGCTATTTTTTAATACATATTGCTGTGTCTTTTCATTTTCTAAGCTGACTTATCTGTGAGAGAAGAGAGGAACTTCCTACTCCAGAAGTAGAGTCCAGAAATTAAGATATATCATACTCGAATTATTCAGTTTTAGTTTAAAAATCCATATGTATAAGAATACACCAACAACTTTTATTCATAAGCTAATATTTTTTAAACTTATGCAACTACATTTGAAAATGTTAGAATGAGCCAGGCATTGTGGCACATGCCTGTAATCCCAGCACTTGGGAGGCTGAGGCAGGAGAATCGCTGTGAGTTCGAGAACAGCCTGGGCTACATAGTGAGTTCCAGGTCAGTCTCTACTACATAGGGACATCCTATCTCAAAAAACCAAAAAAAAAAAAAAAAAAAAAAAAAAAAAAAAAGTTAGAATGAAAAGGTTTTAAGTAGCAGTCACTTTTTCTGCTGACATATTTTAGTGGCTCTTCTGAAACAAAATTCCTTTTTTTATGAATATACCTAAGAAGTCTGTATAGACACTTTGCAATATTCAAGAGCCCAATTCTGTTTTCTTTGGTACAACTTCCACAGTGCATGTTCATTTTAGCATATTTTGGTATTGGTAGTTTGATGTGTTTCATGGTGGCAAAATATTAGCTCTATTTTGGGACTTTTTATAGAACCACCCTATTGCATAGGAAAATGTTCTTGTGATTGTCAGGGTCTCCTAATATTTATCTCAATTCTTTTATAAGTCTATGGAAATTATTTAATTATTTTAAAACTTACACTTTTCTTGTAAATATGTCACATCTGAAGTGTCAAAATTACTTTGAATATCTTAATACTTGCTGCATTTTTTTTTCTGTGTATATAACATGTCTTGTTTCAGAATGGGAATGTGTACCTCTCAGTGTTTACTGTTGATGTCTTTTACCTTTATATGTTGATCTAGTTGAACACTGTAATGTCTTGGTAATAAACTGCTCAGAATTCATTCTGACTTCTCATTTTAGTTCAGCTGTCTTTTGAACAAGTAAACAGAATTCATATACAGTGTTTTTGGTTCATCAACCAAATTTGAATTTACACATATAAAGACTAATAATTTGGTAATCTTAAAAAGAAACTAGATCTGTGTTTTTTTAAGGCATAGCTTCATGTGAAATTGTACAAGTAAAAATGTTTATTGGAAAATAGAACTCGCTCATTTTAGTTAATTAAAAACCATATTCTGGGCTGAGCAAAGTGAGCTCATGCCTGTAATCCCAGCACTCGAGAGGATGAGGCAGGAGGTTTGCCACAAGTTTGAGGCCAGCCTGAACTTACATAGCGAGACCCAGTCTCAAAAAACTATATTCTGAAAGGTAAAGCGAAATGTGTTACCTGTGGAGCATGTTTGAATCATCCAGATTGCTTATAATACTAAGCATGATGTAAAGCTGAATGCAGAGGGCCTTGAATCCCCATTAGTGCCATTGAGCAGTACTCAGAAAACTCCAGAGCAAGTCTTAGAATATTTTTGCAAATCTTTCCTTTTGATAATAAATGTTAACTGCTGTGGACAAACTTGCAGTTCCATTTGCAAAAGCTTCAGAAAAGTTAAATACCTAGGAATCAAAGCGATGGAAATTCGAGGTGTTGCAGTGCATGCCTGTAATCCCAGCACTGGGACACTGAATTAGGATCATAAGTTTTTGTACATCCTTGGGAAAGTTAGCCACTTAGCTGTCAAAATTTAAAAAGGGCTGAGGGTGTAGTTCAATATGAGGCCCTGGGTTTTATATCCAGTACTGCAAAACCAAAAAAACTACCATGAAAATTACAGAACATTGAAGTAAAGTGAAGAAGACATTAGAAAATGAAAAGAACCTCCTTGTGCATGGATCAGCAGAACTAGCATTGTAAAATGGCCATATTACCTTACCAAAAGCAGCCCACAGATTCATTGTAATTGTACCAACAACATTCTTCACACAGCTAGAAAAAAATCCCCAAATTCATATAGAATAAACACACACAAAGTTAAATAATAGAAGACCCAAAAAACAAAAGCAACCTCAAGAAAAAAGCAATGCTGGAGACATCATAATACCAAGCCACAGTAACAAAAACAACATGATACTGGCACTAAAGTAGACATGTAGATCAATGGAATAAAAAACAAAAGGAAATCATTTTTGACAAAGGCGCCAAAAACATACTAGAGAAAAGATAGCATGTTTAACAAATGGTTGCCGGGAGAACTGCATATCCACATGCAGAAGATTGCAGCTAGATCCCTATCTCTCATCCTGTACTAAAATCAAATCAGAATGGATCAAAGGCCTAGATAAATACACAGAGACTCTGAAGCTACTGGGATATAGGGGAAGCACTTGAACCCATGTACATGGGTTATAGACCTCCTAAATAGATAAGTAGCACTGGAAATAATACCAAGAATCAACATATGGGAAGGCCAGGGATTTAGCACAGTGGTTCCGCCGCCTGCTTCATGAGTGCAAGGTCCCAAGTTTGATCCCCAGTACAAAAAAAACAAAAAACAAAAAACAAAACACATGGGATTATATCAAAATAAAGAGATTTTCTGCACAGCAAAGGAAATAACAGTGAAGAGAGCTTTCTGAATGGCCAAAAATTATTGCTAGCTACTCTTCCAATGAGGATTAATATCTAGAATATATGAGCTCAAGAAATGGACCTCCCCAAAACATAGCCCAATCAAAAAATGGCAAATGACCTGAATAGACCCTCTTTGAAAGAATTACAAATAGCCAGTAAGTGTATGGAAACACCAACAACAAAGAACCAAACGGGCCAACTTTAGCCGCCAGAGAAATGCAAATCAAAACACTGACAATTCATCTCACCCCAGCTAGAATGGCTATCATGAAGAATACACAAATACAATGATGCTGGTAAGGGATTAAGCTGAGGAAAAACTCCTGTATTTCTACTGGGAATATAAACTAGTAAAATCACTTGGAACTCAGTATGGAGATCCCTAAACCAGAAATAGAAGTAACCATTTGATCCAGCTATACCATTTCTGAGTATTTCCTGAAAGGATGATAACATGTTATAGTAATGCACACATTTTTTTAGTGGCAGTGTGCACAATAGCTAAGCTATGGAAACAGCCTAGTTGCCCATTAGTGGATAATTAGACAAAATGTATACATAGTGAAACTTTATTGAACTATAAAGAAATCAAGTCATTGATAGTCAAGTGGATGGAACTGGAGTCCATGTTAGGCAAAGTAAGCAGTCCTCAAATATTGGATGTTTTCTCTCTCTCTCTCTTTTTTTTTTTTTTTGTTTTTTTTTGTTTGTTTGTTTTTTGTTTTTTGTTTTTTGAGACTGTCTCACTATGTGGTTGACACTGACCTGGAACTCACTATGTAGCCTAGGCTGGTCTCAAACTCAGCGATTCTCCTGCCTCAGCTTCCTGAGTGCTGGGATTACCGGCATGTGCCATCACGCCCAGCTCTGCATGTTTTCTCTTAGTATGAAAAGCCTAAAATGAATAAAGGAGAAAGAATAGAAAACTAGAAGGTAGATGCTTGGAAATAGGGGAGGGAATCCTGGGGAGAAGAGAAGAAAGGGAGAAAGGAGTAAAGGGATTGCAATCAAGATATATCCATAGACCAATTCCCCAAAACAAACCATGCAGTAATTCTTTAAAAATATAAAGGGAATTTCTAAACTTAAAGAAGAGCCCTTCCTCTGCAGTTTGAGAATTTTCTTAGCATGGTGTGTGTGTGTTAATCAGAAGTTCTATTAAGCTAGGTACAGTGACATAAACCTGTAATTACAACCACTGAAGGATCATTTGAGCCCTAGAGTTCAAAACCACTGGATAACACACTGACACTCTGCCTAAAAAAGAAAACCTTTCTTGTGTTTAAGAGTGTTTGATACTTCCTATAGGACATGATTAAAATTATACTTGAATAAATGGTTTGTTATTTTCCATGTGCTCACTTCAATATAGATTCAAAACTGATTGTTTTTAAATGATTTTTGAAAATTGTTTTTCCCAAACATCAAGACACGTATTGAAAATATTGCTCATAATGTTGAAGTTAGTATTTACAGTTTTAATTGATAAAATTCTAGTACTCTGTTCTTAAAATATTTAAAAATGAATAGAGACTTTCAGACCTGGCCCTTAGAAAAATGGCCATGGTGCAGGGGGCTGAGGTGAAAGTGGATGGTGAGCCGAAACTGAGCAAAAAGTCATGGTAATTGTTAGCTTCTGGGTGTTCTGCCACGCTGATACAAGCTGCTCTAAGGCTTGCTAGGGGGTCCTTGCGCCAAACCTGGGCAGAATGGGGTCAGAGGGAACTTCCACTTGGTCAATTTGCTCCTTTCACAGTGCTTCACAAGGACAGGGCTCTTTGTGATAAAAGAAGTGAGCTAAAAAGACATTTTAAAGCTGAGAAGAAAGTGACAGAGAAGGAGGCCAAGCAGAAAGAGCTCAATGAGACAACTAAGCCAGGCTACTGCCACTGCCACTAATCACACCACTGACAATGGTGTGGGTACCAAGGAAGAGAACCTGGACCCAAACCAATACAAGATCCGAAGTTAAGTCCACCAGCTGAAGGTCAGTGGGGAGGATCAATACCCACAGAAGTTCCACGTAGACATCTCACTCAGTTCATCCAAGAATATAGTCACCTGAAGCCTGGGGACCAACTGACCAACATCACCTTAAAGTTGGCAGGTAGAATCATGCCAAAAGAGCTTCTGGGGGGAAGCTCATCTATGATCTTCAAGGAGAAGGAGTCAAATTGCAAGTCATGGCCAATTCCAGGAATTATAAATCAGAGGAAGAATTTATTCATATCAACAGCAGACTCCATCGGGGAGACATAATTGGAGTTCAGGGGAATCCTGGGAAAACCAAGAAGGATGAGCTGAGCATCATCCCCTATGAGATCACACTGTTGTCTCCCTGCCTGCATATGTCACCTCATCTGCACTTCGGCCTCAAAGACAAGGAAACACGGTATCGACAGAGATACTTGAACCTGATCCTCAATGACTTTGTGAGGGAGAAATTTATCATCCACTCTAAGATCATCACACATATAAGAAGTTTCTTGAGTGAGCTGGGATTCCTCGAGATCGAAACTCCCATGAGGAGCATCATCCCAGGGGCAGCTGTGGCCAAGCCTTTCATCACCTATCACAATGAGCAAGATATGAACTTACACGTGAGAATCGCTCCAGAACTCTACCATAAGATGCTGGTGGTG